ACTGTGTAATGTCAGATCCAGTTTCCAGGTCCTCTGAGTCAAATGCTACTCAGAGAGCCAAGCAACTGTCACAGTCACTCTCTCCACTCTATAATTTACTGACATACATGGTGCTCATATATTCTCCCCAACCCATGATTTTATTATCTGATACAGTCAGCAAATAGCTTTTGGTGTCCTTTTACTTGCATAGGGACATACTCCTCATTATTTGGTTGACTCGAAATTATTAACATAAAACCATCAGGATTAATGATATCTTGAGGTGCTAAGAGTTTGAGGACACTTATCTGTAGACGTGCAGGCTCTTAAAAGGTAATTCCTGCTGGGCCTTTACTCTGCAAGTCTCTGCAAGACTAGAAACAAAGGTGTAAATAACTATTCGACCAAGTGTCCTCCCTGGAGTCCTAAACAACAAGGATGAACATTGCAAAGTCTTGTAATCATAACCAAGCTGAAAGAACTGTGCTTCCCATTTTAATAATTCAGCTGTAACAGCAGCTAAGAATTTTGGCAGGGCTGGTAGAAAGCTGTTCTTTCAACTGAAAAGAATGATGGAAGCAGTCCGGGTGGTCCAGGACAGCATTCAGACAAAAAAAAAGCAAGGAGTTCTGAGTAGAGGAAGAAAAAGCCCTTCAGTATAAAACATACAGAGAGGTACCAAGAAGAACAAGCAACCCAAAACAAGCATAAAGTGTTCTATGCACAAGACACTGCCAGCAGCTAACAGAGCGGACAAAGAGTACTGCAGCTCCTGATGGAAGGCAGATTCTGATGTGGAGAGAGATCATCTGGAGAATTCAGCCCAGAAATAGCCCACTCAGCTATTGCTCAGGCATGCAAGCACACTGTGAGCACAAGACAAAATTTATATCAGTACAGCAAGGGGTAGACGAAAGCCTCCTGAATTGAGAGAGAAAAGATGCTGTTTGGGTTAGCCATACATGATCTCCACAAAAGGACTTTTTTCTCATGATCTCAGCTACCTTGGTTTCTCACCCTAGAAGTGGGCATGCAGTTATTGGAATGTTAAAAGCAAGGGGGAAAAAAAAAAAAAAAGAAGCTGGGGGCAGAACAGGGAGAGAAAAATATTCACACTTTATAGCTTTAAAGTCATTCTGAGCTCTCAAATTCTCCATCTATGTTACTAAGCATCCAGAGCACATCAGGGAGTGGAACAAACTTCAGTTACTCATTTGACTGTATATCTTTAATACATGCATATGAGTAGTAAGGTAAACAATTTTGTGCTATCAAAACCTCTGCCTGAAAACAATGCATAATCTATCCTTGACAGTATGCCAGTTATATAGCTCTACACAACTACAAAGCTAATATTCTTTGCTATGCTTAATTATTACTTAACACAAATGGCGTGCATTTACAATATACAGTCAGCCATAAATATGACCACTTTTATAATTAACAGTTGGGAAAAGGCCTTAGTTTTGAAATGTTTAGATACAGTTAAATGAAAAAAATCACTGCATCAATCATAACACATAGCTCTATGATTGTAATCTCAAGTTTCAAAAGTTTTCTTTAACAGCAGAAATGGGCTGTTCATAAACCTACCAAGTTATCAGAATAAACTGTAATGGAAGCAAAGTTCTTTATAATACTCGAGAAAACCTCAAGAAAACACAAACAGTAAGACAGATGCCTTACTAAAGCTTAGGGCCATGTGCTGTTACGTGCTAAGCCCCTTCTGCCTGCTCATACCTTTCCTTGTACCTTCTCCAAGTCTGTACGTGTAAGTTCCCATAACTGCATCATATAAACAGTAAATAGCAAGTAACCTACAACTGGCCTTTCAGACTCAATAAGTAGTGTTTGAAAAGTAGGAATGAAACACAAATTGTGCATCGGACAAACATAAACTAAGCAATTTCTATAGCAATTTTATCCACCAATGAACGGCTGGTTAGACAGATATAAGGCTTTTCTAGATGTGGACATAGCAATGTCATGAAAATAAAATTAATTTCTTAGGCATAACTAAAGCCAAATCAAACCAATTTTTAATTTTGACGCAGCTTTAAAAGTCTGCATGCACATCCATTTTCAGAAGCGCATGACAAAGTTCTCATACCATCGATATCATGCCTTTAAGATTTTAAGTCTGTGAAATCTAGATTCTGTAACAGTTAAAAAACTGCACAGAACTCTAGAACTGGTAACTTTGAAACACCAAACTGAGCACAGACTTGTCCATAAGCTCCCTGTGCAATATTAAAGCAAACTTGGCCAAGGATACAAACAGCAGCATATGCAATGTAATTGCAAAGAAGCCATCTTTGCACTAGAAAGATATATACCAAAATAGCCAAACCGTTTCTGTATGTGTTCTTTTGAATAATAGAGAAGATATAGAGACAGAAAGTGAGACTTGGAGCTCAACATGTTTAGCTTATCAAACTTATACAGAAAAACAATTGATTTAATAATACTATTTAGGATACTAATAGCTAGCAAAAAGAAGCAGACACGAATAAATCAGAACCAATATATGAGTATATATATATAATTATTTTTTTTTAAATCTCTGTATATCTTCACATCAAATCAAGAATGGACACTTTCTGGGAGATACCTGTCAAGTACAACAAGTGGATGTTTTAGTGAGACAAGCAACTGTACTCACTACAAAGTTCAAAAGAAAAAAGCTGCAGGGATTTTGCCAGCAGGAGAGGCAGAGTATAGAAACATCAACAGAGTCAGTATTTAGGACAGCTTCTGGCAATTTAGAAAAATCTATATGCAATCTATATTTAATGTATAGATTTTTTTCAGGTTTTTTTACAACAGTCAGTGCGTAATTAACTCACCCATTTGCTACTGGGGAGAACATCACATATTGTGCACACTACTGCCATGATGCATCCACAGAACAATCAAAGCAAAACAATTAACATATTAAAATAATTGGATAAGGAAGCAGAAACTGGTACCCTTGATTGTATAAGGGGCAGTGAAATTAAAGAAATTTTCCCCCAAAAATGAACAAAGGAAACAGTATTAGGAATGGGTCTGAAAAAGGTGTATATGCTCCATAGAATTACGTTCAGTCTGAGGAAGTTATAAAAACAGAATCTGGGAGCAGATCAGAAAAGAGAGAAACGGCCATAGAGGGAACAGTGATTACACTGTTACACTGAAATGAGGGTCTATAAAAGCAAACATTTTTGGCTCAAAGTTCTCCATGACAGTCATGTTGGGGCTACAAACTACAAATAAATATTGAAATTTCTCACAAATATTTGTGCAGACCTATTTTCAAATTTTGAGTTGAAAATATTATACAGACAGCATCATTGCAAGACCAGGTGCCATACATTTGCTATAGCCTTGTGCACCGTGGTGTAAGGGGCTGCTCTTCTGAATATTGTTTATCTGTGAGAAGTTAGTCCATGGGTTTCAGAGCTGTTCACAGAGCCCAGAGCATCTACACACTGTGACAACCACAAAGGTGTAAGGGTGGCAGTGCCTTCTATGTCTTCCCTGTAAGCGCATCTTGTCCAGAACTAGCAACAGTCCATTTTACTTAGAAAAACTCCTGGGCAGGAAGAAATAATTTGGGCTAGATGCATATGTCTATTAGTCTGTTCAGAATAATTACATTGCTTATTGCTTATTTCTTTGTTAACATGTATGGTTTAAATTTATTATCTATAGAAATGAGAAGTACAACACACAAAAAAATACTATTCTATATTTATTTGTAAGGACTATTCTTTATAGCAAGGAAAAAGTATAGCAAGGAAAACAAGGTAAGTAACTCTTCTGAGCCACCTCCAATATGTAGGGACACTTTTGCAAATTTTGGCAGTGCTCCGTCATCACACTAACTGTCAATCTGTCGTGATATTGCTGAGAAAAAGCTTCTCATATTCTTTTTCTAAAAGACCAACAGAGTAAGACAGACTCTAGGCTAGAATGACAGGTCAATCAAATCAGTCAGAACAGAGCTCTCTAAAATACAGCAAGCCAACGATGACATTCATAGCGAGGTATTCTAAGATTTTATTACATGTAACACAGATGACTTGTGTGCATCTCTGTGTTAATAATATATCATTCGTTATTACTGAGAAACCCAGAGTAAAAAAAGGACTTATAGCAAAATTTAAAACTTCCAGCATACGCATGATAAAGTGAAATTGCTCTTGCAAAAGGGAGATATATACCCTGATGTATACTTTTAAATCTGCTGTGGCTGTTCAGTAGTTACTTTGATTTAACACACAATTTCTTAAAGCATATTAAGATGAAAAATTTTTCAGGGAAAAAGTTCAGTGTGCATGTATCAAGCCCACAAACCTGCCTGCAATTTACATAGATATCACGACTCATTTCTAACTTCCTGTCTTCACAATTGCTGTTAGCCCACATCAGAGGAAACGAACAAAACAAACAAACTTTTACAAAATGCCTTCAAATATCAAAGGTGTCTTTCCACTTTTAAGCTTATAAACTTAAAACAACCACAACAAAATAAATAAAAAGACATGGTTATTTTTCTGATATAGCTTCTTAGATGTTTTTCAGCCTAGGCATCTGACTCTCATACCATGAAGTTCAGGTATGCAAATTAATCGCTCGGCCCCAAAAATATCTCTAGTTTCTCTATCACTTCACAGTAAGTCCATTTCAGACTAAACTTAGCTGCTTTGCACAGTGAGCCAACTTACAACTACTTTCAGGCAGCTGAAAATGACAAAATTCAGCTAAAGCCCCCTCCTCTCTCCCTGGCACGTATACTTTTAAGGCATGACTGCTAATAACCTAAAATACAGCAGTCTAGTCCTAAGAACTTTTTAAGGCTTTTGTTGAAAATGCCTACTTTAGTATAATCTGCAGCCAGCTAATTACAAGAGTTGACTTACTAGTTAAAATACTAAGAAATGTCTGTTCCCAAAGGTCTGAGTTCTCTCTTTATGACTGGTTCTTGCTTTAAGTGAGCAGTGAACACAGGACATACTGGTGTCCTGAAAGCTTACCTTCCAGTAAGTCTCTTGCCAGACCCGGTTCTGCCCCCGTGGACCGAACAAAGTCTGACAGGACTGCATCCATATCAAGAGTCATGAGATCATTCAGAGATGCTGCCAGACATGCAGCAGCAGCAGGACTCGCGGGTTGGCTAGAAGGCATCCATCTGCCAAGGAGAAAAAGAAACAGGATTTTAGAATATACTCCACAGTGATATAAACAACATTTTTCCTCTCTTCCCCAAACAAGATTATTAAAAACGCTAAAACATCCAGGTTGCATATTAAAATAAACAGCATTTGTCATCCATCTCTGCCTTAGCCTGAAAGCTGTTGATCACTCACACTGGAAGGTTTTATCTTTCTTAATATTTCATATTTTTATTGATTTTTCTTATGTGCATCTTGTAAATAATACTGCATCTTGAAGACTCTGATCCAGCCAAACAGAGGCCCAGTTCATTCAAAGCACAATTATCATATCATTGTCACTGCACAGACACTGAAGTTTAGCAAGTATTTAAATGCTTGGCTAGCCTAGAGCTCTTTTGCCTTACTTACTAATACTAACATATACACAACAGAGCTTAGCATTTATTCTTTTATTTGCCTAGTCAATATCACTTCTGTAATTTATAGCTTCTTCACTGTACTGGGTCTGGCTGATGGAGTTAATTTTCTATGATTCTTCATTCATTTTCTAGAATTGTGGCTAAACCAGTGTTGCTAACACACTGATATTTTAGTCATTGCTAAGCAGCACTTCCACAGTGTCGAGGCTTTCTCCATTCCTTCCTGCAGCAGCAGGCTGGGGGCGGAGGGGTCACAGCCAGGACAGCTGACCCAGTGGACCGAAGGGATATTTCATACTGTACAACATCATGCTCAGCAGTCAAACTGGAGTAGAGTCTTTCCAAAGTAGCCTTCACCCTGGTTGGGCATCAGTCTCCTCATGAGAGGTGGGGAGTGATTCTCTTGGCGTCGCTTGCTTTTTTTTTTTTCTCCTCTTTCCTTCACTTTAATGAAACTGTCTTTATCTTGATCCACAAGGTTTTTTTCTTGCTTTTGCTGTCCCGATTCTCTCTCCCATCCCACTGGGGGGTGAGGAAAGCAAATGAGCAGCTGGAAGGTGCTTCATTGCTGGCTGGGGTTAGCAAACTCCAGGGCTTTGTACATCAAACTCCAGGATCTGTTAATGGCCTCTTTCAGCTTCTGCTGTTTGCCATATTGTTTATCACTTGGTTTTTCTTTTCCTGTTGGAGCTATGATAAAAGCACTAGCTTTGAGTCTAATCTGGAGTTTGGCCCATGTATTGCTGCCATCCCAATACTCTAGGAATCATCTCACAGAGTCAATTAACAATTACACCTTTCTGCTCTTCTCCTCCAGGAAAAACTTTGTAGAGAAATTAAGAATGGTACCTCCTCCTCCAGGGTAAATGTTTCCTGCCTTGTTGTAATGGCCCTTCAGTTTCTCAAACATCCCTGTGTAACCAGAATGCTCACATTATGTAGAAAGATTAGCTGTCAGCCAGGAGAGCAAACTATCAAGTGGTTGCTTTGCCACTGGGGATAATGAGGCCCACAGTCAGAAATTATAGGGTAAGGAAGCCTAGCAGCTGAGATCCTTAATTAAAGACCAGGGAATCAGCAAAGGGACCGGCAAAGGGACAACAACCGACAGTCTCTGGAAGCAGTTCCTGTTGAGTGTGAAGGTATGGTATCCCATCAAGGAGGACGTGCAAGCTACTAAGGCAAGTGAGACCACCATTAAGGAAGTTATCCAGTATCTGAGGGAACTAGTGGTGGTGGAGGTGATTTACAGCAACCTGGTCAACAGCCAGTCCTCCAAATATCTGGACAAAATCCAGTGCATGGGGTCCATGTGGCAGAAGTTTGCATGGAACTCACCAACACCGTATGCCAGCACCCTGGCGATAACAGACTGGACAGACATCAGGGCACCAACTGTGGACAGACTGGCCTGCCAGCTCTGGCAGTTTGAAGAGAATCTCTCTTCCTCCACAAATCCTTGGGCCTGTGTCTACTTTGTGCTGTCTACCTTTTCCAGCCTCTCAGAGGATCCTTCTATTGTGGGGTGTGTGCTGAGGAACAGCGGGTGTTGACTGCTAACATGAAGGTCATGGGCAACGCTATCACATTAACCGAGAATTCCTTGTTCCCACACATGAGCTAATTAATTGACAGAAGAGACAAGGAGTGATCACAGCAAGACTCACCCACCCCTTAATTGTCCCATATGGCCAGCACAAAAGTCTGATGCTGGGTAGAGGCTAACAGTGAACTACTGCAGCCTGAGCAGTCATGCCAGTCATGGAGTCAAAGGAAGTCATCAAATGGTTCGCTACCTATGTGTTTGTCTTGATTCCTTTGGCAACAGACGGAAGGCCACAGCTCCCTTTCACATGGAATGGTATCCAATACATCTGGAATTGACTTCCCCTGGGATGGAAGCACAGCACTACCATTTCTAATCTGCTCTGGTGAGATCCCACCTGCAGTACTGCATCCAACTTTGGAGTCCTCAGTACAAGAAGGATGTGGACCTGGTGGAGCGGGTCCAGAGGAGGCCACGGAGATGATCAGAGGGCTGAAGCACCTCTGCTATGAAGGCAGGCTGAGAGAGTAGGGGTTGTTCAACCTCGAGAAGAAAAGACTCCGGGGAGACCTTGTAGGAGCTTTCCAGTATCTGAAGGGGACCTACAAGAAATCTGGAGAGGGACTTTTTACAAGGGCATGTAGTGATAGTATGAGGGGCAATGGCTTCAAACTGGAGGACAGTAGATTTAGATTAGATATCAGAAGAATTTTTTCACTATGAGGGTGATGAGACACTGGAACAGGTTTCCCAAGGAAGTTGTGGATGCCCCATCCCTGAAGGTGTTCAAGGCCAGGCTGGATGGGGCTTTAAAGTCAAAGGAAGGTCAAAGGATCTGCACAAGAGATCCAGTTTGGGGAAATAAAATGGCAAAATGGACATCATATCCCAATGGATGTGATCAATAATATAACAGCCACATTCTAATCAGTTAACAAATAAGACAGAAAAGCTTTGCTAGGCATTGTGGTTTTCTGGAGAATGCATATTCCAGGTTACAATCAGATTGTGAGTCCTCTTTATCAAGTGACATGAAAGAAGAACTGTCTCAATTGGGGTCCTAAGCACTGACAAGATCAAACAGGAGACAGTATATGTAGCCCTTACAGCAGTTGAGCCCTTGGCCTCAACTGGAGCCTATGTTAGAAAGCACTCTGACAGACCCAAGGTCAAGCTCTAAGGTTTTGGAGCCAAGGGTACAGAGGATCCAGGGTACCGGGTATATTTCTAGCTTCCTCTACTGTAGCATTTCTATAGTTCAGTGGAGAAGCCACCTCCAGAAACCACATCAGGAACATCTGCAACAAGTAAACAGTAAAAACACTTGGACCAACCGAGGCCCAGCTAGGAAGGGCAGAAAGGAAGGGTCTGGCAGGATTTCATCCCAATTGTTCTTCTGAGAGATGCAATTAGAGTACTATTCAATACAATCAGGGCGCACAAAGGTTTTATATCTAACTCCCCATGCCCTCCAAAAACTCCACCCAATCCATCCATGCATCCATCCATCCAGGGCTTTCTAAAGGAGCTATTAAGTAATACCAGCTCACCACAAGAGAAAAGCACCAACACTTTTTTTTTGCCTCAAGGGAAATGTGACACAATGTCCAGCATGGGAGTTTTACTTGCCAAATCCATGACTAACAGAAATACATCTGCCCTATTGCATTTTGTACATACTTTTTTGTTCCTGAAAAGTGTAACCCATCCTTCTAAGCAATCCTCTCTACAAATATCAAATAAAAATTAAAGCAGGCACTTCAGAAGTAGTTGGTGCTAGACAAGCTATTAAGAAAGGTGGCATTCAAAACACAGTTATGCTAAGCTATCTCTGTATTTCTACCCTGCCTACACTGCTGCAGAAACAGCGCAAAGAGGATGAAGTTAAATGATACACAATCTGTATCAAAGAAAGTTTACCTTTGAACATGAATTAGATTTTTCCTGTTAATTCCTCCTCACAGGCTCAGATGCAACTTTACCACATGCCAAGGGTAAGGACTAGCATGGAGATTTCCTACTGGTAGTAGATGATATTGGTTTGCTCTTGCTTGTACCACATCTACAGAGAAATAAACTGTGAAAGAAATTGGAAACTAGTTGATTTCACTGTTCCCCAAATGAAAAACAGTCCTTTCCTACTACTGGTTATATTTAACCTTAAAAGCCTTTGCTCTCTTAGAAATCGCCTCTTTCTACATGTACACATCCCAGGTGGAACACAAACACAATTTACTTCCTGCCCCAGGAGGGTGGGCTCCTTCCCAACCTCATCCACCAGGACTGCCTGCAAAACCCAACTTACTCCAACAAATGGGAAGCACGGGGGCTATGGTTACACAATTACATGGTTTTCAGTGTCAAAGCAGATTACGCTGCTGCTAAACCTACCCACTTTGCAGACTTCTGGCCCTTATACTGTACCGCTATATGTTTTATACCACTTCTACATTCATGCTCTTACACTATTTATACAACTGTATCATTATGTTAGGGCCACATTAGGATAGAAGGGGAGGTGGTCCTTTACCCTCTAGTCAGCCCTGGTGAGGCTCATCTGGAGTGCTACCTCCATTTCTGGCTCCCCAGCACAAGACAGGTATGGTCGTACTGGAGCAAGTCAGTGAAGGACACCAAACTGTACATCCTGGTCCGGCAGACAATGGGAGCATTTCTAAATGTCACATAATGAAGATATAGTAACAGCAGGAAAGCTGGAAATGGTGAGGAGGCTAGTTAAAAAAGGAATGCAGAACTTCAGGAAGAGAACTACCTTAGTGGATTAGGGCCAAATTTGGCATCAAAGCTTTGTAGCAACTGAATCTGCTTCAATGCAAATGCAGGACAAAAATGCTATTTTGATTTTAAAAAATATAAAATTCCCATACACTGTACTAAACAGCACTATCATCCATACAAAAAGATCACAAGAAACTGAATACAGTAACTGAATGTATTTCTTTAGTGACTAGGAGAAAAAATGAAATAAATCTTAAGCAGCAGGATTGAAACATATGGATCAAGCTAAAAGAACCTGCTGTAGGTGAAT